CTCCTCCTGCTCCCTTCCTCCTGCTCTGTTCCACATCTGCAGCCTGAAGATTCCACCGCGTCTCAACAGGAACGTTGGTTCTTCTCCTCCTCATCCTCATCCTCATCCTCATCCTCATCCTCCCTCTGCTCCAGCTGTGAAGAAGGTGGAGGCAGCTCCTTCTCCTGGGGATGGACCTGTGGCTCCTCTGTGGAGTCCTGATCTTCCTGCACATGTCTGAAGGTACGTCGTCTGCAAAAATGATGATGTAATCAAACGTTCAACATTTCTTCTTTATTAATGATCCTTCAGATCAATCGCACCTATTGTTAGCTAACTGTTAGCTAACTGTTACCTAACTGCTAGCTAATTCTACTCTTTGGTTTGGGCTAAAATCAGTGATTTTCTCTATGAGGTTAGGTCTGTGTCACTCCCCTCCTCCTCCTCTCGCCTCCTCTCTCCAGTCTGCTCCATCTCTGGGACTGGTCTCAGTGTGGAGAAGGGCCCACTGGTGCAGCTCGCCCACAGGGCCCAGCATAGACACAAACGCTGCTCCTGTGAGAACCAAAAAGATGGAGAGTGTATTTTCTTCTGCCACATCGGAATCGTCTGGATCAACAGTCCCAGGTGGGAGAACCTGAGTTCTTAGTACTTACTACCTGGTACAGTTCTTATTAGAACTCATTCAGAACAGTTCCTCTGGGTTCTGTGTAATGGTTTGTGTTCACAGTCATGTGGTTCCATACGGTTCTGGATCAGTTCGACAGAAGAGAGAAACCGAACGCTGCCTCTGTTCAAACTCACAAGACCAACGGTGTGTGAGGTTCTGTTCTACTGACAGAAGGTGAGGACGGACACACACACACACACACACACACACACACACACACACACACACACACGTGTTATTGTTGTTTTTGTTTATGTTTCAGGAGGAAACTTTCATCAGCAGAAAAACAACACAGATACAAGGATGCATTATGGGAGCGGGGCGTGGCCAAACATCCAGAGGGCGGGGCTGACCTTTGACTGTGTTTGTGTCAAATCACTTTTATATCAAATCATTGTATTTACTTTTACCTAAAGCGTTGCAGGAAGTGGGAGGAGCTTCTCCTGCGACACTTCCTGTTCTGACGTTGACTGATGTTTACTTCAGTTTTACTGTTAGCATAGTCTGACACTGAACAGAAGTTAGCAGAAACATAGCTGTAGCTAATTGTAGATGGATGTTGACGTATTTCCGACAGGTACAAACAAATGTTAGCATTAGCTTACACCTGTTACTATTGAGTCAAGTGCTGTTAGCAGCCAGATGTTAGCTCTTAGGACACATCTTTTAGTCATTAGCAGTGAAATACGGTATATCCAGTTGCTAACTTCGGCGATCAGTTGTTATCAGGTTTGTCAGTAATTTAATAGCAGACGTTTGTTGCTGGCTATCAGATAAAAGCTCATCTGTTAGCACTCACCTACTGACAGCATTTGTTAGCTGCTGTCAGCTTGACAAAGCTGTTTACAAGTATGTTAGCAATGACTTCTTAGTTGTAACCGGCTAGCTATTAGCTGTCAGCAGTCACCCTGCAGCCATTCAAAATAGAATCTTAAGAAGTTAGCCATTAGCAGTTAGCAATTATTCATTTACATAGAGGACAGTGTCGTGGACAGTTATTGTTTGTGAGCATCTGTTAGTAACTCAAAACTGTTGTCACAGCAGTGTGTTCTGACGTCATAGAGATTTTTATTTTTTTCACAATAAAAATATAATATAAATGTGTAATTTGTTTAATTGTTGATGAACATTTTCTAATTATCAGAATAAACTCCTGAAGAGAACACGGAGATCTGAGGTTTTAGAACTGTTACAGAGAAATTCTGACATCTTGTGGTGAAAGAAAGAAAACCACAAAACGAATCCTTGTTTGAAATAAACAGCACGAGGCCGTTGACACGCGCACATAAACACGTCATCGCGTACAGCCAATAGGAGGTGAAGATACTGAGTCGACGTCCGAAGTTCATAGGTCGCTGTAATTACGACCTCCACGATGTAAACAATCAAAACAACAACAATGTCATTGTATATTTATGTATTTATTTATCTATTTTCAGCCCCTCACTAAAAACAAAACTCTGCCATTCACTGACCTGACAGTGACGTACGCGTTTACCTCTTGTTCTTGTACATCCGGGTCACAGCTACTTCTCCTTCCGGTGGTAACTAGTGTGAGTGAGTGTTACTTGTTTTTGTTTACGCGTTGTGTTTACTAAACCGCTATAAAGGCTGGACGAACGGGACCATGAAGTGTGTCGTGTCTGGCTGTCCGAACCGAATGGTGGCGCCGGACCGGATCCTAAACCGACCACCGAAGAGGTTTTTCAGCTTCCCCACAGAACCTGCTACAGTCAAGGTACCAGAGCCACCGGCAACCAGTCACGAAAGCTGGCTTCACTTTCTTACGTTGATATCAGTTTGATGTCGGTTAGCTTCCGGTTCTGTTCAGGAGTTCATCTCGTTGACAGATAAAACCAGTGTAATGAGTTCTAAAGAGTTCCTCTGTTGAGTGACACAGCCTGACCACAGGAGGCAGCAGAGGAGCAGCAGTGATCAAACAGATGTCGGCCTCGTAACTTAGCACCCGTAGTTTAACGTCGACAGATTCGTTTTCTGAATAAAAGCCGTAACAGTTCAAAGCTAACGCAGACGTCTGCTCAGGTTTGGTTGGCGGCGCTGAGGGAGTTGGACAAACAGGAAGAGGCAGAAGAGCACGTGATCTGTGAGGACCACTTCCTGCCTGATGACATCACTGGTAATGGAGTCAAAGAGGACGCCATTCCCATCATGCCCCCTGACCTGGACGGAGGATTGGGTCTGAGTGGCAGCTGGGGAGCAGCAGCAGAACAGGAGGAAGAGGAGGAGGAAGAGGAGGAAGAGCAGGAGGAAGAGCAGGAGGAGCAGGAGGAGCAGTTGTTCCTCCTCGGAGTCGGCCGTGATGATGGTGGAGACCCGGCTCCTGCTGTGACAGATCCTCCACAGCAGGTCAGACACAGGTTGATGTTGAAGCTAACGCTTAGCAACAACAGCAACAATGAGTTGTTTTGTCGTCACCAGGCTCCAGGTCCTGGATCAGAACCAGAGGCTCCAGCAGCTGGAAGCAGCAGGTGACTCTCCTCCTCCTCCTCTTCCTCCTCCTCCTCCTCCTCCTCCTCCTGTATCACAGACATGTTGTTTGTGTTTATATATATACTGTATATGTGTGTATATGTTTGTCTGGGGGGGGGGGGGGGGGGCTGCCACACACTTGAATGCTAAAATATATTTCATATTTATATTATGACAGTAATCGTAGGAAAATATCAAAAATAATGTTGGGCCAGATAATACTGTCCATGGCCCAGAACCGGCCCGCGGGCCACCTGTTGTTCAAAGACAGAACCTGCTTGTTCTCCCTGGTTCCCAGTTCTCCTGAGGCCCAGACGACCGGGTCCCCCCCCACATCCACCACCACCGGTGAGTCAGGGGATGGAGTGGGCGGAGTCAGAGTGTCGGAACTCCACTGCTGATTGGTTGATTTTCTGTGTTGATGACCCGCCCGTCCCTGTCCTCAGACATAGCTGTGCTGACCCGACGATTCCTGGACCTGCTGCTGGCGAAGCCAGACGGTGGCCTGGACCTGTGGAGGGTCGCAGCCCGGCTGCAGGCGGGGTGGCGGCCGATCTGTGACATCATCAACGTCCTGGACGCTGTGCACGTGATCCAGAGGGAGTCTGTCGGCAGGATCAGGTGGATGTGAGTCCACGCTCAGCTGTGGTTGACTTGGTCTGCTCTGACCCCTCTGACCTCTCTGACCCCTCTGACCCCGCCCCTCGGTCTGCAGAGCCAACGCTCCGGTCTCCAGCTTCCTG